GAGTTCCTGATCTGCACTTCTGATGTTGGGAAAGATCTCAAGGCAAGACGCCTTGAACTACTTTATACCTTCTAAGTCCTAACTAGCACTACACTGCACTACGCTACACGCCTGCACGGAACCACGCTACACTACACTCAGCGGAACCTGTGCTTCGCCTCCTGCGCGACGGACTGCCGCGCACCACCTCCCTACCCTGCCAATCTTCCGCTCGACTGCGCAGTCCCAATCGCCGCAACGCCGCGGACACCTCCGTCTCAAGGGTGGACATGGTATCCCGCGCCTTCGATAGAAAAGAGTCTCACTTCTTCGCTACCCGCCGCCGACTCCGACTGTCACCTACCAACAACCCGGCTGCGCGAAGCTCTAACTCACGCAGTGTGAGTTTCTCCTGCGCCGCCACTTCCCAGTGGGCGTAGCCCTTGAGACAGTGGGCGACTCGCCTCGCCATTTCTTCCTTCGTGCGATCTGCCTCTCGCCTGCGATCGTCTTCAATTACTACCAACTGCGATTCGGCCTCCGCACGCTGAGCTCTCAATTCCCCGCACTCCAACTACAGCCTGCGGATTAAATCCTCATCCGCCTGTCGTGCGAGCTGACACTCCGCCAACAACCGCGTCTGTCGCACGAGCTCCTCTGACAGATCTGATTCTAGGTCTTCTCAGAAATCAGTTCTTATGTGGTCTTCACCAGATCCCTTGTGAGCTCTTCCAGTCTCTCTTTCTTCAACTCATTGTAGGTGTGCGACTTCCGCACAAGATTGTACTGTCCCCACAAGCAGTCATACTGCTCACGCAACTCCTTAAGTTCCCGGTCCACTCGAGCTAGTAGCTTGCTGGTGTGGACTTTAGTGCGAGTTCGCCTGCGCACTAACTCGACGTAGGACCCAGGCTGGCGAGGATCCGCGTATTTATCAATTTTGCGATCCAAGTACCTTAGCAGAGGTACTACCTGCTCACAGAGCGCCGCCGTCGGCGCTCCAACGATTTCTTCCTCAGGAAGCAGTGTCGCCCGATCCCGACACTGCTTCCGTGGATCCTCCTTCGTCATCATCTGAAGGAAGGATTTCGGTCGCCATTGATTGCGTTGGCGACTGGCCCGAGTGGGGCTGCGAGTGGTCTGCGGGTTCTGCCGCCGATGGCACTCCTGCAGCTTCGCTGCTCCCCGCTAAAATGTCCAAGGCGGTGGATGAATGTGGCCGTGCCACATCCCCATCTTTCGCCTGTCTTGCGTCGATCGTCACTCTTTCGCCGCCGGCGTCCGCCGCCGAAGATGATCGAGCGGAATGTGTCTGCGCGGGGTGCAATTGTGCATCGCGCACTCAAATTTCGTCCCGCGGACAGACAATCCGCTCCTCCGATAGGTCCTGCTCCCTCGATCGGTCCTGCGCGAGGGATGCGTCCGGCCTACGCGTAGGCGCAATTCCCGACGCCTTATCCGCCGCAAGCGTCTATCGCCGAAGGCGATAGACCCGAAGGCCGCCCGCCCGATGTACCTTGGCCCGAAGGCCCTTCCGCCGAAGGCGCATCTTCCGGCGGATTCCCCGCCGAAGGTGCGGCCTCCGCACGCTGACTGCTCGTAACTCGTTGACCCGAAGGCCCTGGCGCCGAAGGTGCAAATCGCGGCGCGTTGTACGCCGGAGGGCCTTGCCCCGAAGGCCCTTCACCCGAAGGCGGATCTTCCGCCGGCTCCTTCCCCTTCCTACGTTGTACCGGGGGTGAATCCTGCCTACTCGTAGGCGGCCACCTATGCGTAGGCGGACTTTCTCTGCCTACGAGTAGGCAGAGGTCCACGTCTGCACGAGGTCGCCTATCCGCTGGGAGTTGCCTGTGCGTAGGCGGCACACTCGTCCGCACCGCACGTAGTAACTCCTGACCCGAAGGCCGTCTCTCGTCCGCCGGAGGTGTAGCGTGGTCCACCGCTCTTGCGGACGTCCGCGCACTCCCGCCCTTCTCCGGGGACGCACTTTCCTTCTCCGTGGCGATCGTCGCCGTGTCCGCGCTGCTGGCTGGTAACACAAGCCTGCGCGCCTTCTGCTTCGGCCGGCTGCACACTTCGTGCTGTGGCCGCTGCCGTATGGGAGCAGTGGGTTCTCGATGTTGCTCCTCCTCTGGTTCCTCTCTCCATCTTCGTTTCCGCTGCACTCTTGTTGCGGGTGTGCTTCTTCCCTCGTCTCGCTGAGTCGGTGGAGTGGAAGCTGGCGAATCCTCTGCGTCGGTGTCGACTTCGTTATCCCGCACATACTTCCCGGGATGGTCGACGGACAATGGCGGAAAATGAGCAAGCTCCGCCGCGGTCAAACAGTTCATCTGTCGATAAAAATTTATCAAGAAAGGGGAGAGGTGATTGAGAGTTCCCCCCTTCTCCTCATATGCGTGCTGTCGCATCACCCTATGTAGGATGCGCGCCCAGTGAACTAGAGCTCCGGCCAAGATGAGCTCCACAAAAGACACCTGCCACAAGGTGATGTACGAGGTGCGGTGCGGCTGCAGCAATTGCAGCAGCGCCGCCGCTACAGTTCGACGGAAACGATCTTTGTAGTCGCAGGTCTTGTACCCGTTCTTGGAAGACCTCCCCCGCTTGAACAATTCCACGAATTGCGCTTCGTCCTGCTTCGTCACCTTGACGCTCTCACTATCAAATAGGAGGTACCCGTCGTTGCCGGCACACCTCCCCAATGCCTGCGCCCAATCGTGGACGGTCCACCGATCTACGTGCGGACGCAATCCGCGCGTAGGTTGTCGCTCCGCGTCCAGCCATTCGCGCACCATGTCTACACATATGTAATTCCACCCCCACAGCAAGAAATCAAGTTTTCTTGCAATCAGCCGCTCCTCGAAAGCACGCAACCCGTTCTGTGGAAGCCGGAGCGGCATGATCCGCAGCCTGTTCACCCTCGACATTGCGTTCTTGAAGTTTGCTTGCGCAACAACTCCCTCTGACTCCCACGAAGTTTATGTTCCTGTAGTGCATCGAAATCTGGAGAGGAGGTACAGTTATTTATGTAGGAGTGTAAAACGTCCATGGTTCAACCCTCATTCAAGACTCAAACGTTAGGCGTCATCAGGTGTATTATCATTCTGTCTTTGATATATATTTGGCGTCTCCAACGCTTGTTGGTGTCGACTTCGTAAACCTTCATATATCGTAGGATGAGGGCTACTATGGTTGCACGAACATCTTCAGTCTTGCAACTGCCCTTAGATTTCTCACAGAGGAGGGCTACTACTCATTGGGCCGTCGTCGGTTGATGGTGCCGAGGTCGTGGCCAAATTTATATCGGCTATGTTGCATGGACGAGTAGGGGGGCTGATAGCTGTCGAAACTGAGTTATCGTCGATCAAGTGCTTTTTGACGACTTCTGGCGTATACCCAAGAGGTGGGGCCGGAACCGGGATGGAATTCTCCTGGTCAGCGAGAATTCTCTCGACCATCCGACCTCTGGAATTACTAAGCTGCTGGTAGATAATAGTTCCCTCGGTGAAATGATGTAACGCTCTCGTAAGTAAGCGATTTGTTGTATTTGACAGGCAGTTTTAACATATACTAAGTTGGGGTTGATTTTCTGGTGAAACAATGCCCGCCCGGGTGCCGCGAGCTCATGCAGCGAATCCCACCACGCACTAAGGGCCAAGCCCTGCAGGTCCTCGTCCACAACACATGCGAGAACCACTCGCATGCGTTAGGATGGAAATATCTCTAGCTACTGTTGCTTGGGAGGCCGGGTTGAGATTCAGGGTTGGCAGGGGTTTTAATAGGAGACCTTGGTGATTCTTGAAAGAACCGCACGGTATAATTTTTACTTGTTCTAGTTGAAATGGGTTCAATGTTCTCTATCAAACGGAGGTCTGTCAAAGGCAGCTCGTAGAATGAGGAGCACGGATCTGACACCGGCTCCTGTGCAACGGTACCCGGTTTCGTCTGACATCCTAGTGCATCTCTGTAATTAGTTTTGGACGCGGCATCTTGCCAGACTCCAGCGTTATCTTACCAAAAAATGGATTAGTTTTGAACGCGGCGGCTTGCCAAACCCTAGCGTTATCTTCCCAAAAACTGGAAGAAATTTGTCAAAAACTCTCAAAGAACCAGAGTGGGGCGGGAGAACAAGAATCCAAGGATTAGAGAGTGAACGAAGAGGGGCAGAGCAGAGTGGGCGGGAGAACAAGAATCTAAGGATTACAAAGAGTAGCAGAACACAGAGAATGACCTAGCCATGCTTCGCCATCGCGCAGGCTCCGGGGCCACCAGCTTTCCAATCCAAAACCTCAAGAGAGACCGTATGGCAGATTTTTCAGGAGGATGCATGTACACGATAGGATAATATCCACATTTTAATTGTGGCAGAAGTATATGTATAAGCACGTTTGGTATATTCAATATGGTCTGTTTTGTGCAATTTTGTAAAGGATGTTTGGTAGGATTGTACAGATTTGGAAAGCTGTAAAGTTTCGAAAAATGATAATTTGTAGCGGTGGTCTGGTAGTTTTGTGTTCTGCACGTTACATTGAAAGGGATATATTCTTACCAACTCAAGTACAAGGATTAAAATTAGATAGTTAAATACAAGTATTTACAGTTTGCTAAGGTCCGATAAAACGTTTTCTGGACTTCATCTACATGAAGTGTTATTGCATTGTTATTGTACAACTGAGTAAGGTACATTATCTACGTGTTTCCTAAAATTATTGTACACAAGGTAAATGATCTAACACAAAAAAAGCTTTCTGAGTATAGAATGATTGCTGATATAATCACAAAGTAAATATCAATAATCTCGCTAACTTTATCAAAAACTGTTATATATCACCGTCCTATGAAGACAAATACAGTAGTGATAGTCCTCGCACTAATCACAGATCTACACACATTCGGTTGCAAGAATTGAAGCTTAACATAGTCCTACAGTCTGCGTAAATGTCCAAACAAGTTCTATTGGAAGAAGAGGCACACTTCAGGCATACACATGTCCAAAGGTTCTCACATTATTCGATAGATGTGACTGGCTTTCCAAAAAATGGTAACTTTTATTTTACAACATTCACGTACAAATCACTGAAACACTACAAGACGAAGATCTATACACAAGATTGAAAACTGATTCCGTGGGCAACTACCGGAAACCGAATCTGGCCGGTCGAGGGAAAAATGGCCCAAAAAGCGTTTGTGCTCACAGAATATCTTCGAACACATCAACCATAGTACAAACTTTTGCGTCAAGAAACGCTGGCGGACGCCGACGTGGTCCACCGTAACCTCAGTCCGCAAAATCGGAGGAACGAGCCCGTGCCTACGGCTGGCATAATCACAAGAACTCTACGCCAAATATTGAGAAGTTGGCCGCCCGACCATCGATAATAAGCCTGGAAATTCTCGCAGCCGACATGATCGCTATATCTCTGCCCTGCATGGGCCAACACGAATTGAAAAGTCGCAAATAAGATAGAGATACAGCCCTTTTCCCGGCCCTCGGTGCTGCAATTAAGCTTTTTTCACAATGCCAGTTCCGACGGGCAGTGGGTCGGGTTGTATTGCGTTTCGATGCTTCTGTTTTTCCTCCACGTCCTCCTCGTCGCTTGACAACGGAACAGATTTGACCTGAGATCGGAATTCATTCACGAGACGTAGAATGGTCAGAGGCAAGATAGACAGGATAGCCACGAACGCTGATCAATTGGACGAGACAATACAAGAACGCGGCAGATCCAGTCCCCTGCTTACTGCAAACATCAGCAGGTCTATATTTCTCATATTCATGTCAGTGTCTAAGAATCTCCAAATCGACTTCGTTACCGTGACATACCAGCTCTCTGTACTTCAAGATGTAAAACATCTCGATGTAACGCCGAGATTCTCTTCTGCCGAGCTTGGAGACATATTTCCAGAAGCTGTAAACCCCAGCAAGGGTCATCAATCTTTCGGCGTACAGCTTCCACGTGAACCTGTACACAGAGCCAATTATTATTTTATTTTCGGTTAATATTTTCGTTGCGATAGCTCTTTACATGATCCAAGAAGTTACCTCATCCCCCACACAAGATGGTGCATTTGCTGTGGACATATCCAGACTTTGGTAAGCTGCCGCAAGGAAAGGAGAATTTGTGCCAAAGGGTGTATACTAGTGGTGTACATGACTCCCACTTAGCATGCACTACGTCCCGTACCTGCTGTAGATGCGCTCGAGTCCAGCATCTGAAAGCGTATTCCAGTACTTGTCGTCAGCTAAGCAACGCTCAAAGAAGGTGACCAACATTGCGCTTGCCTCATCACCGTGGTATGGGTCAATATGGAACCCTGATTTCTCGTGCTCGATGATCTCAGCAGGTCCTCCATGACAGGTGGCGAAGGTGGGAAGTCCACAGGTCATAGCTTCCACCACAGTCAGTCCGAAGGCTTCGTACAAAGCGGGCTGCACAACAAACGACCACAAGAACACATCAGACGGAAGAATACGTCCTGATTATTACGAACACAGGGCAGGTCGACTCCTTGATTAGTCCAGTGTCGGGCTCGCTAGATCTTGACTACTACTGAAAACTCAATAGCTAAATATGAGAACAACAGTGGATCAAGTTAAAGTGTGAAGGGACATATAAACAAACCTGCACAAACACACCCCCAGTGTCTGCAATGTAGCGATATAGTTCGCCAGTTCGGACTCTATTTCTCTGTGCCTGTATCCACCTGAAGTTATCGAACAGATCATATGTCTTCATGAGTTCGTGCATTTTCTGAATTTCTTTCACTTCCTCCCGATCTTTCGATTTGCTTGGATCAATATCTCCGGCGACGAGAACCAGGTTAGCCAACTCTTGAAGTCTCTTGTTCTTGCCATACCATTCCACCAGCCCGGTCATGTTTTTAACTTGATCCAGCCGAGCCATCGAGAAAATCATGGGCTTCTTCCTATCCTTCAGCACACCTCTGCACAGCACACACGTAATATTTGGTCCAATTAATTTTCTCAATCCTCGTGTAGTACTTGCTCAAGAAAATGGAAATTCTCTGGGAGAAAGACTCAAGATATCACGCAATGGCTTAAAAAGGAACAATGGATGGGCAATTTCACGATTAGTAAGGCTCAATCTCTGATAGGTACTTCGGGTACCTATCAGACGACAACCAGATTCCAGTGGTGTGCCTCGTCCACTCACAACAGCGAAGGTCTGGGGCGAAATGTAGACACAGGAACAACTGAACTTAAAACTCTGAACTTACATGTGGACTTCGTTTTGCACCTCACTGTACAAAAGCTCTTCGATATCCGGGTGGAGGGCTGTCAACCGCCTGTCCGTATCGGTGTAAGGGAAGTAAATGTCCATGTCTGCTCCAGGAGAGACGATGTTGAATTTCGGGTCGAATACATCGATACCTTTGACCACTCGGTACAATCCTGGCATCGTGAAGGCGGAATGACTCTCATATTGTCCGACCACGTCTTGGCTGTACAGACAGACAGTCCAGATTGTTAATTCTTAGATCGCTAATCCGGAAGACAAATCAAATCAATTCAGCTAAGTCCATCAGACCCCGTAAACAGCTGCTCAGACTTACCTCCCCATGATTTCCTGATATGTACTGGTAATGATGAAATCGGCGTGATTCATAGCTATCAGATCCGCAGTGAACTGACACGAGAAGTGGTACTTCTCTTCGAACTTTTTCCAGAATATGTCTGACTCTGGATACTTGGTCTTCTCCAGGGCATGAGCGATGTTACACTGCGCATTCACAAAAAAATGAAAATGGACTTAGACTCTGTAAATGCTTCATAACATCTCCCCTCAGCTCACGAAATTGGCCTGGTAATAGTGTTTGACTCGGACGAGTAACCACTGTAACTTGCCATTCTGAGAGGGTAATAGGGCCATTCCCATCTAGCCATATGATCAGTGGAATTTATATGGAAGCTCATGAATGTTTCGACACGTCAGAAATCTTCGTCATGCTGTGGCCCACTGCAACTAATTAAATTTAGCAGTCAATCCACAAATTCCCTCATACATGGTAGGAGGTACAGGGGTCCGTAGTGAGGTGGATTGCAGCTGTTCTTCTTGAGTCCATGTGGACCATAATCCTTAATTTTCTAAGACCTAAGGAGTGGCAGAATCAAGGAACGCAACTCTTGAACTGCCTTCTCTCATAAGCACATACCTGAGTAACTCCAAGCTTGTGAGAAAGAAGTGAGGCCACAAGATTTCCATCGCTGTAGTTGCCAATAATCAGATCCGGTTTCCCCGCCAGCTCAGCACGAATTTCAGTGTTCACTTCCTGAATCAGCAGAGAATTTATTTTTAACGATGGGCAGTTCTAGTCAATGTTTATGACCACTCGCCAGAGAACGGGATGACAATGCAAGTGAGAATCACGCATCAGTGCATAAAGACAATATAGGTACACTACAGAAGAGGGGTTCTTTCATGAATTTCACTCTCATACAATTTTGCCATACTAGTTGGTCCCTCCTCTCACACATTTCCTTCAATGCCATGAAGCATCACATGCCGATTTCTCACCTCAGTAAACCTTTCGAGGTACGGGTAGACATCAAAACGAGATATCCACTTCCGAAGTATTCCCTCCTCGTTGCGGAAGGGAACACGAAGAATAGAGGAATGCTGCGTGCCATGGATCTTTTCAAGCCGTTTGTTGCACGAGGTCCCTTGAGAATCAGGGATTAAACGGGTAACCTGCAATCAGTGATCAACAATTAGCGTTGATTGTTCTGATCGAAAGAACAGACATGTATGAACTGTGCGTGGAGTGTGCGAGGTCGGATTAGCATTTCACACAGACTACGCTCGTGCCTTCGCCTCGGAGCTCTGTTTCTCATGTATAACTGATTCCGTACTCGTGGAGCCCACGCGGACACCTAACCTTTCACGTGTACTTCTCAAGAAAAGACCCACATCAGGATGAAAACTCACCACTAAAATTTGTGGAGTAACTTCAAGGCCTTGTTGTTTTATCTTGAGCAGCATCTCCGCTTCTAGTGCTTTCACTTGATCCAAAATGTACACAATCTGTTCGGTACAATCACGATCTTCCATCATTTTAATGTGGTCGCCAAAAGCAGGAAGAGAACGATAGAGACAGAAACTCATCCAGCTAACGAAAAAATAATAATCTGAGGACGCAGTTAAAGTATGGTTGAGAGCCATATCCTGTCAAGGCGTTATCGATTTACTAGAGCCTTACCTGTCCTCCAGTGTCGGGTAACCCCAGAACTCCCGCTTGTCCGAAGTAGCCGTGAGGGGATAAAATTACAACGCTGAAAACCATAGGAATGCGACCCAAGAACTTTTCGAGGGTATCCGGATCTGGAGCCTGTAGGATGTCGAAGAGCATACGGATCATTTCTAAAACTCTCCCAGCTGTATCTCCCCATCCCTTCTCCAGTCCAAGGTCCTGCAGCCTGTGTCAATTATAATGAACTGAAATAAGTACAACTAAATCACAAAAATGAACAACAAATTGTTATTTACATCTCACCAGACAAACTCTGTCATTCTATTGATCACTTTCCGCACAATGACCTCACAATACCAATGCTTTAAGGTTGATTATGAAGGTACCAAAAAGGTACAGATAATCTTACTTGGAGGCCACAGCCTTGTAGGGGGTATCCTCGGGGAGCTTCTGAAGCATGTCCTCTGCTTTGAGCAGTGAAGGTCGAAGCTTGTCCAAAGTTGGAATTCTTTCATTCAGCATCAGAAGCTACACTCAGAAATCCAAGTAGAAAGGTTAGACGCCCTCGTATGAACTTTGATGCAGAAAATAAAATGATATAAAACGTACATTACACATTACATACAAGACTGAGCACCAAAAAGTAAGTTTCGGGCTGAATTTGCAAAGAGCGTTCTCCATACAGAGCTCAGGTATACCAAATTGACTTTTAACCAGACGAGAGGAAAGGGTTCGTATATTTCGTTCGTTGGGAGTATGAGGGATAAAAATCCAAAGTCAGAAGAGGCAAAAGAGCGTATACCTCCTGGCGGTTCCTGTGAATCTTCAAAAACTCGAACAATGGTTGCATGCTGTCCGCACCACGAAACAACGACGATGACAGGTGGCGATTAAGGAATTGTACACCATTTCCAACAGAGGATGGCCTAGTGAGGCGAGGAAACTCAGCACCAAATGGTTCGAAGTCCAACTCCAGGACGAAGTTGTCTTTCTTGTCCCTGCACGAGGTTTATGCGAGCATCAGTTGCTGCAGTTAGATGGTTTTCACTAAGATAGTTTCTTCTCGTTGATCCTCCTACAGAATGCTCAGCTTTCGCGCCGAGCCCAACGTGAGGTCCCACAACCTCATATTCATATTCGGAGAAATCTCACCACAGTAGCTACAAGTGCAAGAGTAGCACGATAGAAGTAACGTCCGGGGATATAGCTCAGACGAGGAGGCCAGCGTTCTGGAGCTTGCGATGTCATTTGTTATCCCCACAATATACTCATCTCCAAACATGAGAAGACAATATCATATAAAAGTGGTTCTAGAAAGGATGAGCACTCACCCATTAGTAAGTTGTTCTTTGAACTCCAGATATTCTGAGACTGTAAGCTGCTCCACACTAAGGTCATCTACATTGACCTGCAGATACTCCCAGAAACCAGGCTTGGGCCGGACAGCAAATCCCACCAAAGGAGGTAGCACAATTGCCTCCTGCACGACCGTCAGAAATATCCAAATTAATAGTGCCAGCTGCAAACTACAACTGCTGCTAACCTCAAGGCCAACAGTGGTCTACGATGGTTGACGACGTGATGATAGCAGAAGTCGAGCGATAGAGAGGGAGATGCAAAGTGGTCGAACCTGGCTACACTCCAGAACGCGTCCGAAAGGTCCATCTTTCAATTTGGAATAGTCCTCGCAATCCGAAATACAAGCTGCAAGCTGGTCCAGTAGTTGATGGGGTTGTAGAATGGACGGTCCCAAAGCGACATACCTGATTTGCGGAAATAATCAAGTACACAGAAGTGTCAATCGCCAAAGGACAACATTCCATGTGCATCATATGGGGACATTCAACCTTCAAGTTGGCTGAAAACTTCAAAACGCAGAACTATATACGCAGAACTACTACGGACTGAAGTAAGCATGGAGTCACGACGTTGGAGAGCTACTGCATCACGCAGACACGCTTCTAAACCTGCTGAAATTCAGTCGACCTGATGAGCATACACGTCTGTCTATCTACATAATGCACCACCAACTTCAGTTATCTTTATCTCAGTGGAGGCCAACATGTCCATCCCCTTCCATCTCGTAATCCTTCACAATCATAGTGCTCGTGAAGGGATCACAAGACTCTGCAATTAAGCCTATCGCATTTGACGACGGTGGGCATCTTGCCTTGTATACTAAGTAAACGCATTCTACCACAACAGGGGAAGCTGAAAGGCCAGCTAAATCTCACTTATTCAGCTCACATTAAAAAAGTGCACCGTGAAAAGTCTAAACTTTCATCAGTTGACAGACAAACTGACAGATAACGTCCTTCGTGATGTTTGAGAATATCGCCTGTGCAACAACGACTCGGGACCGAACGACTAAGTTGACACGACAACTAACAACTGACAGCACATTCGAGTGAAAGCAAACAAACGAAGAGCACGAATTCATAACCGGAAAGCTCTAATTCTGCAAGCTCTAAGTCGCCCCATCCAGCGAAGTCATGGATCGAAGATATGGCTTTGTGTGGATGTGAGTCGAACATACTTGGACAAGAGAGATACAAAAAGATTTCTGTGCTCTCCTAGACTGTCGTGGACCCGTTCCCTCATACTTGTCATGCGCTGCATTTTTGCCCAATCTATAGAACCTCCTGAAGCACGGTTGACACCACTTTTAGATACCGATCATCGGCTCCGGACAACAGACAGTGAAGGCGAGTGAACGGGAGTCTCTGCAGAATCGGGGTGTCTAAACGAGAGGATGAAAGTGGATCGGACGAAATCAAGGAACTTCTTGACGAGCAGCAGAGTACGTGGTCAAATTGGCAGCTTTGGTGTGATCACCAGGAGCAGAAAGGACGATGTCTCGCCACCGAAATGGAGAAGTGATGATCAGAGGAGAAGAGGAGGATCCAGAGAGGAAGGAGGAGGAGGAGAAGATCGATAGATGGAAAGCTCTGTCGGGACGGCATATAAGAACCAGGTGGCGAGCCTGGGAAGGTACAAGGAGGCCTCCGGCCTAACGAACAGCAGCAGTCCTGGCCCTGGCTTGTTTGACTAGACAAATTATGTCATCCCAGTCACCAGCGCACCGACTCTCAAGGATTGTCAGACGCTTCGCCGCTTATACAACGCACAATTCTAGAAACTCTGAGCTCTATCAGCTCGGTCCATGGGACTGGCCCACGGGTTCTTTCTCAGTCGGGGCAGGTGCGCAACAGTATCTAGCCCGGGTCGATCAGAGAATCGCGATGCAGTGAGCCAACTTTCCGGACCCCGAGTTGGAGATGGAGGGAGAGATGGAGGAGATCGGTCCCAATTTGCACGACGAAAAGAGGCCGGAAGCAGTCGAGCTAGTCACCATGGCCATCGCCTTTCCTCTATTGGAAGGAAGGGGAGGCCCGTGCGTGGCAAGTAGAGGGACGTGAGGCGCCTGACGAGCGCATGCATGACACTTGGGCTCTGGAGTCGCGCTTTCCAGGTGATTGCCATGACGAGGCACTGATGACGAGGCCGCGAGTCGACTATTCGTCTGACGGGGCTCGGCGGTTCTCAAATATCGTCCTCGTCAGCATCCCCGGCTCCCTTCTTGCCTGCGTACATTTCTGACACGAGTGCAATATGGACCCGAAGCCTGCCCCGTCCGTTAGCCCCTGCCCCTCTCCAGCCGAGTCGTCGACCTTCCTATTTCCACCCGAATCACGTTTCGTTGTGATTTCTCCATTCAATCCACCTTGAGCTCCTGAGCCGATCTTGGGTGCGGGCAGGGCAGGACAGGGCGGGCTGAATATTAAATCCACAGCGATATTATTAATGTGCTCTAGTGCGGCCAGAGCAGGCATCCTTGGTGGTGACTGGGCATGGATGATTGTACCGATATGTTCGCAGGAATATCTTGAGTTTATCCCGTGAAAAATAATATTTTCAGGTCGGAAATTCTCATGCACTTGCACATGCCTCGATGAATTCCCAGCACACGGATTTCGAAGAAAATTCGTGGAGTGTTGATTCTTGTCTAGACGCCAACGAGTCCCCTGCGCCTGACTGAAGTGGGCAGGCACACTGGAAATTACCGGTGCCATCGCTGTGGTCACGCAACGAAGACTCTGGTTCGATTCGAAGACTGCAGACTCCGGCGCTTGGATATACACGCAATAAGTTAAGAAGCCCTGGATATTGTGGTCCCACTACCTGGAACCTTTCGCATACGTGCTGCCAAAGCAAGGACAGATAGTTAGTTGAGTGCCGACTAGAGCTCCTGCAATCGAGGCTGGCCATGGAAGGGAGGCGATGCCACCTCAGTTCCAAGATCTCTAGTCGGCACTCAATTATCTTTCTTTGCCAGTTCTGAAGTTGAGACTGCCTCTCCTTTGGCCGTGACGAGTTGCTACACTTTTCTTTTTGTTTATGAAGGAAGGTGTAATCTCACTGGCTTTGACTTCATACTCGTGTGCTCTTCCACGCTTACGCACCTTGCTGTCTTCTGGTTATGCCTTCGTGCTTGCCCTCGATACATCTTTCTCTCTTCGCTACGTTGTTTAGCGAATAGAGAAAGATATTGGTTTCCATCGGTTGCCACCGCGTACATTGATTTTTCAATGACTGGCTGATAGTAGATTGATGAAACGGATAGGTGCATGTGGAAATTAGATGTATAGCTTATGGGTAGATATAATAATTACTTGTTAAGTACTCATTGTCATACATCATAGTTCTCAACCCCATCAACACCTTTGTTCTCACAAGTTTGGAATCTCCACACCAAGATGTTGCAAGTAATAGGAATTCTGAAAATGTTAATTCGGATTCATTCATTTTGAGGTGAATGTCAAACATCATTTCAGTTGCCTTCTCACAAGTTAGATAACTTATAGAGCCTAGTGGACTTTCGAGCCATGTTCTTTTGCGACGGTAGTTCTACAATTCAGCCTTTCGCTTTCCATTAACATGGCCCTTCATGAAAGAAAATAAATATTCATCTACTCTGTGTGAATACTTGACCCAAAAAAAGGCTTTATTTTATTTCTCACAATATGATAGTTAATGAAATTGGATGCGGTATACTTGTACACTTTATATATGTGGATTTCGCAATTTGTATCATACGGAATGAATCCTTTTTTCCATATTACTGGTTTTCAGTGCCTTTTGACGACTGATGTTTGATGTAGCAGGTTCTTGTTAGTAGACAGAATCGTTCGCCTTCCATAGCCCACCTTGTCCGCCCTGCACGTCCTACATTCAGAGTGGATTCGTTGTTCTGTGCGCATGGTTAGGATGTGTTGGGATCGAGATGAAGCACCTGTTGATGCTGGAGATATTCTGGCCTGCCAGTGGATGAATTTGTTCTCATAGAGCAACTGTTCTGTTTCCTTCTTCGGGTAAGGGAATTCGCGACGACGATCGTTTCATACAATATTCCAGCACACGAAAGTACATGTGGATGGTCGGAAAGCTGCATCAGAGCTATGGAGTTCTCCAGTTTGTAACCAACGTGATACCGAAGATAGACGCCAGAGATGGCCAAAAGACGACAGAAGTTGCTACTCGTAGAAACCTAGAAAGCTTGCTTCTGAAATAGAGCAACAATGAATAAATAAGAACACAAAGAAGCTTGCATCTTCTTCATGGTCGGTGAGGAGAGGGTTATTGGAACTTTCGAGGCTACGGGCTATTGTATGAAGCACTTGTGTACCAGATGCTTCGTGATGAGAGCTCGGATTAAACATTCTATACAAGTTAAGGCCAAACAGAGCCGTATCTGCAGGATCCGTCACAAACTCTTGGACGTGCAGCCACCAAACCTACACTGCCTGTACTTGAATATATGAATCTGTAGACTTTGCTGACTCCAATCCTTCCCTCCAGTCAGTTTCCATCGGAAGAACAGAGTACACTGTACGTAACGACGAATCTATGGGGAGAAGTGTTACTGTTGGCACGAGCTAGCAGATATACTTATGCTAACCGGGCCCACTCTACTTCTACTCCGTACCCACCACCTCAAGTCTCAGAGCTCCGAGGCTCCAACATGGAGACATCGGATAGCATAGACTAACTTTTGGTGGAATGTTTTTGTTTATTTTATTTTTCCTTATGAAGTGATGGTGGTTGGGTTCGATTAGAGTTTAAATAGAAAAGTGGGGCATTCCGGAGGCGGGACTATCCAATCCTGATTTCTTTAGCAGGCAAGAGACGAGAGCCCATACACTGTTCTTGAAGTACGGTTCAATATAATCGAGTGAAGCAGACGATTGGACAAGCAAAATTAGTGGAGGAACTCAGCGGTCGGAAAATCCTTGATTGGAAACTTACTTAAGCAGCGTAGGACATAGGACACTTTTTTGCCCGTCAATTCACGTGTTCCAATCGATACAGAGGGAAATGAGAGCTGACATTTACTAAAGTAATCTTTCAGCTGTTTCAATCCATAGCAGGAAAGATACGGTAATGGAATCGAGGATATACAAAGTACTTGGCTTGAAGTGAATGGCTTTGCTTTGTACGAGGTGCTTTTGTTATTGCTAAGATTGGATGCTGCAATGAGTGTCGGGCAAAGTACAAAGCCTCTGATTTCGCTCGTTAGAGTACTGTAATCATATTTGTGAGAATCGAGAATCGTGCTTTGCCAATTAGAAGAGTGAGGACTAATTCTAATCTGAGGCCTATTGTAGCTTCCCTCATGAGAACCTGCCGTCAGTACAATTCTCTACGTAAGTTGGAGCCCTGAACGTGGAGTTCGAAGAACCCTATGGAGCGGTATCGCCCTAAGTTCTAACAGGTGTATGATGCAGGCCACGGTTAGAGAACTCCATTGCTCAAAAACCCAAGGGAGGACCATACCTTCTCTCAGAAGCAAATCCACCCAATCTGATGTTTTGTCGAAAGTGAGATCATGTAAGACAGGAGTCGTTACAACGTACTTTGCTGTATATGTTGCAAGCTAAATGGCTTTCCGTTGTAAAGCTTTTGAGACAATGCTTCATTAGGGATCTTTGATATTTAAAGTATGTATTAGTGCACGAAGGTGCCAAGGTGCCAAACGACCTTCTACTACCAGAGAACGTGAACATTTTTGAAAGAAATGCACTCCAACTCCTCTTATTACACGTCACATATTACAGATCAAAAGACTCGAATGAAGGTGGGCAGACGCATGAAGGAGCTGGAAAGCATTTTGTTTCTGTCAATGGGGCCAAATGACTCCCTCATGAGGATAGTGGACACAGGCTATCCAATGTGGTGACATGCTAGTGTTGAAGGTTTATGTTTAGGTTTTCTTCGGTTCTAGGATTAACGAAGTAATCTAGCAAGGAATATCTGAATATCCCATTGAGTATGACAAGAATGGGACCGTAGTGTGGACATGGTGCGTTACATCTAAGCTACCCAAATTGTGTAGGTTGTACCATAATACATAAGCATTACAACATATGAAGTATTTTTTTTAATTGTACCAGTTCATGTTTTCATTATAACTTTACGTACATTTTCTAATGTTAGTTCATGATAGTAACTTTAAATTGCATCATCTCAAGCCATCGAATAATTTACGTTCCATAGCTCCATAAAGTTCCAACATTCTATGGAAGAATAAACATTAGTTTCTACATACAGTATTACCTTATATTTGGCATCATTGGGTACTTGCAACTCAACTTCTAAAAAAGCAATTACACCATCTGATATATTGTCACACACTGTATGCAACATTTGCAAACTCCTCCTTAACCAAGAATAGTTACGCAGCAGTAACCAAAGTCGATCGCAAATTATACTAAAGTTTCATGAACGTCCAGCATTTACCTCTGCTGCCATAGCAAACACAAGTTCCCAAGGACATTACGGGTGTTTCAATGTGCCGTCCAAACAACCAAAGAATCATGTGGAACCTCGCATCTAACGTAATACTAGGGTCTCGGATGAATAAATTAAGGAGGATGTAGATTTATAGGAAAAGTAAAGGGAGATCTCATCGATGTAGAATACACGATGGATAGATCATGAACTGAACGGTGGTGGTTTGTCAATAGCTGTAAACTAACTCCTACCTTTCAAGAATTCCACAATTTATCGGTGCCAAAAATCATCGTGTACTCCTAGCCGTCCCTGATGCGATAAATCAAAGTTTTTGTCAATAAAATTCAAAGCTTGAAATCCATGTAATACGGGAAGATGTCGATGAAACTTCCAGAATGTCCCGATGCTCTTTTTCACCACCAGATGACGTGGATATGCCAGAAGTCTCCTACGAAAAGCACTCAATTTGCCAGTCTTCTTTTCCCCTTTTAAGACTTTCAAACTTTGTATGTAGATAGGATCGATAAGCAAGGACTATGACTCTTGCATTGCCTTTTGTCTCCTATGAATTGACCTTTTTGGAATTTTATATCCTTACTCCAGCGATGGTAGGCTGGATAGATCGATGGAACTCTGTACCGTGTCCTCTGTGAAACAATGACGTCAATGACAGTTAAAAAGTGAGAAAAATGGGTACAAACCAAGAAGGACATTTGCATTCATGTCCAATCTGCCCAAAGAAGAACTCGTGAATCAACATTGGCCTTCAGTTTTGCTTTACTTTCTTCCTTCTTATCCTGATTCAATAGAAATGTAACACAGCAGAAGTCAGTAACTGAGTCACTTCAGCACCCGTCAAGTATTCCAACCATGTTGCTCCAACCTGAGCAATCAGGGGAGAAGAGAAGATGGAACACCTCGGCACGCGCGCAGAAAATGTTCAACTAAAGTTATCTAAGCCTTCAGATTCATCTTGATTACGAGGTAACACCTACTTCTACTTCTCTGTAGAAGTAGGTGATACAATTTGCACATGCTCGACTAGATGTACCTTAAGAAGGCAGACTGAAAGCTTCATTCTCGTTGATGTTCGTCGAGCATGTAAGTTTTTCAAACTGGAACTAAATTAAGACAAAATACCACAAAATGGCTTATGTTTACACTCATACCCTCGTCCTCAATGTTACCTTTCTCGAACCCGTTTCGATGAGAGTGTCGATGAGCTAAGATAAACAGCGAAATAACTCTAGCACCAAAGAAGTGAGTACAGTAAGCTCAAAAACCAAGCCAAGTTTAAGAGTGTCTGGCAAGGAAATTAAAATCACATGGATCATCATTGTATAGTCATTTCCCCGAGATAATGGACCAAGTAAATTTAGCAAAGAGATTAGGAAACTCATTCACTCTTACATGGAGCTATGGGATTCTAATGACTGCGAGAACCTGTCGAAATATATTATGAGGGGTTTTATTTTCTCTAGTCTATTGTATAGCTTAAGGTACTCGATGGTATCATATGGACAATGCTTCGCTACGTGAAAGTGTGGA